TAGTGTGCCGATTAACCACATACGCTCCACTAACTACATATAAAGCATAATGTGCAATTTCATGGATTAGCATACTTTTGACATTTTTCCTAAAGTAACTAGAGTGAGATTGTAACATCTCCAAAAATTATAAGGTAGAAAATTCATTTTTAATTCAACCAGAAACACCAATTATCCTTTTTCCAATCATTCAAAAGTAATTCTGAACATAAACAGTTATCAGAGTACAATCCTAAAATCATATTGTTACGGAAGCATGGGTGGATGCGTTGCGATCAAGTCGGTCCCTTCCCTTTCGAACTCGAAGTACCTAAAACCATAACCATAAAACTGTAAGCACAAAGCTTAGTGAGCTCCCCAAAATACCATATATCATACATAAGAAAGTGAATGCTATGGGCCAAATCATAGTCTTACAATCATTTCCTTCCATGATGGACTTTTACGTGTCATGGTGGACTTAACAAATCAGAAACAATAATCCCCAAATGTAATGCCATTTCAATGTCAACAACGTCATGCCAATCATTAGATTTCTTAGTTTCAGAGTTATGCACACTTACTTGTTTATCCGTTAAGCTTCGATCCAATTCTACCCAACCTCCTGACTCATTTCTTGAAAAATCAGATCCATATGTGGCTTTCTTATAAGGTATAGGAATGTTTCCATCATGATCATCATCTTCTTCATGATCACTAAATGATACATCCTCATCATTCTCAACAGTGAATGTAACAATATCTTAACTCTCTTCTTTTAACCACTCACCTTCATCTTTGGTTAGGTTATGTGGCTTCTCTTGAATCACAAATTTATCAACAATATTAATTTTATCACTTTTATTTTGGTGTTTTACAGTCTCAAGAAGGGCAGATTCTGTTGCAGAATCAACCATATTTTTCAGAACAAGAACTGATTCTTCGTGCTTCATTCTTCAACAGTCGGTTTTTCAACTCATGTGTTAATAAGGCTTTGGCTCTCAGAATCTACATACAAAATATGAATCATCAATCATATATATTACTATCCATGAATTAGGGAAGCAATCTATGACTATGAATACAAGCAGACTCACCTTGGGTGTTCAAAAGAATTTTGGCTGCATTGTGTTCAAGTATCAGATGCAAAACTACAAAATATATCTTCCAGAAGGAAGTATTTGTCATAAATTAGGGCAATGCTTAATCCTAAAAGCACTTAATCCTGGTACTAGATCTTCAATGGCCAAAGGATGATCTTGTTGAGCATCAGACAAGTGAAAGTCTGGAGTAAAAGGGAAAAAGAAATCATCAAACATATATATTACTATCCATGAATTAGGGAGGCAATCTATGACTATGAATACAAGCAGACTCACCTTGGGTGTTGAAAGAAGTTTGACAGCATTGTGTTCGAGTATCAGATGCAAAACTATAAATATATATCTTCCAGAAGGTTATCTTTCTCATATAATCAGGGCAGAGCTTAATCCTAAGAGCACTTAAGCTTGGTACTAGATCTTTAATAGCCAAAACATGATCTTGTTGAGCATCAGACATGTGAAAGTCTGGAGTAAAAGGAAAAGAAATCATAATCCAATTGTTAAACCAAATTGGCAAGAGAACATGACATTGGTTGTGGTCTAACTAGTAAATTACACCATCGATTATCATAAATAATGAATGTTCTAAGAGACATTCAATTGAGCATAAGATACTAGCATGTTGAATTGGATAAAGAGAAAGCAAATTATTAATTGTTAGTTTGAAATCCGATCTAATTTGAATTGTATTACCTTCATCGTCATCTTCGTCATTGGGGAAAGGAAAATCCAACCAAATTTCAAGGTGCATAGCAATATCCATAGCAAAAGCCACAACTTCATCCGTAACACCAACAACGCCATCGCTATTAGTGGAATCGTAATCTTCATCATAAAAAACATTGGAATGACGAAAGCATAATTAGGGCAAGAAATTAATCGATTTTTGGGGAAGTAGAAACTGTAGTTGGAGTTTCCCGATGAATCTGAAGTTTTTCAATGAATCTGGCATAAAGGGGAGTTTCTGCCGAGGAGGGACTGCAACAACTTTGTTAGTTGTGAGGCTACCGATTGAAATTTCCAACATAAACTTATGCATCTGAGTGATGCATAAGTTCGTTGGTTCGCTTTCTAAAAAAGAGTTCGCTATTGAACCTTATATATATATATATATATTATATATATATATATATATATATATATATATATATATAGGGTGAGGTTCAATAAGAACCATAATTAACCAAGGAACCAATCTTTTTTTCAATTTTTAGAACTTATTTTTTATCAAAAAAAAAAACTAAAAATACAGAAATTGATAACTTTTTATCCTTTTTCCAATGATATCAAATTCGATTTTTTACTTTTACGTCAAATTCACAATGTGAATCTTTGAAAATTCACAATGTGAATCCGGATTCACACGGTGAATCCGAAAAATATTTTTCACATTCACAATGTTAATATATGAATTTAGATATTTTTAGATTTTTTTTTTCGATAAAAAATAAGTTCTAGAAATTGAAAAAAAGATTTGGTTCCTTGAAGAACCATATGAACTTTTCCATATATATAGATATATATATATATATATATAGATATATATAATATATATATATATCGATAATATACTAGATATATATAACTACAATCTCGTCGTTCTTATTTTTTTAATAAACTACTTTGTTCTAAGGAGTTATATGTAAAGGAAATCTATCATCATCAAATTTAATAAACTATAATCAAATACTAACATATAGTAAAAGAATAAATAAATTATGAGTTTGTGAGAGCGTGAGATTGTAAGAGTGAGATGAAATGGACCGAGCAAGAAAAAGTACTTGACATACAATTATAACAGTCTCTTCCTTTGACCATTCAATTCATTTATTTCACTCATAAAGGTTCAATTCTTTTCTATGCTATGTATAACTTGCTTTTCACCTTGGTGGTATTCAAGAACTTAGAGCAATCTTCCATTAAATTATGGCGGATGATATTCGGATTGTGTCATTCAATTGGAGCAGATATAAAACTGGTTTTGTTAGTTTAAATTGCTTTGATTGGATTTGCTTCCCAATTACTTTTTGTATTATGTAGGTATTTAGCTTTTCACTAGTTTTGTTTTTTATATATTTACAGTTAAAATAATAATAATAATAATAATAAAAACTTGTATTACCAGCAATCAGGTAAAGAGAGGTGATATCACCTCCTTTCCGTAAAACATGTCCCATGAAAAAAGTGTAATGTTTGCAAAATGCAATGTAATCATGTCGTGTTTGATTTAGGCCAAATTAGGGCTACGTTGCCGAAAGTTTTTCGGTTTTCTAAAATCAATTTTCAAGAAAAACAGAAATTTTCTAAGAAAATGAAAATTTTCATTTTTCTAAATAGTATGTAATTAGAAAAATGATTTTTATAGTTTTCCAAAGTTTTCTAAATTTCTAACATAATGAAAACTCTACTCAATCCAACCAAACGTGTTTTTTAAAATTTTCATTAAAAACCGAAAATAAGAACTTAACTTTATTTTCCAAAAAACATTTTCTTAGAAAATGAAAACAGTTTTCTACAACCAAACACAACCTAATTTTTTTTTTTTTTTTAATTTTTTGGTCATACTCCTCTTCTATTCATACATGTAGAAAAAACTAATTATCTCTTAATCCATTGTTTTGATTTTTAACAATTTATCTTGATCCAGTGATTAGGAAACAAAAGATTGAAGGATATTTGATTTCTCTAAAATTATATTTGATAATGATTTTTGGCGAGACTTTTAGAAGTATTATTTACTTAAAATATCTTATATTTTATTTTTTTCGGATTAAACCTTAATTAAGTTTTTCAAAAAAAAATATAGTATTTTTTTATTTGACGTTTTTAATTTACTGATAAATTTGTAGCTTTAGATAACGTTTTTTTGAATAAAACTCAAATTTTGACATTTTTTTTGGTAAAAATATTAGGTTTTTGTTATGAAAAATAAAATAAAAATCTAACTAGAAAACCTTCTAAAATGGTCAAAAGGAATAAATGAAAAAATTAAGGTCTTTTATGAAAAAAAATAAAGTTGTGTTTTAATCTAGAAAATCTAAAATATAGGATGTTTACAATAGTAGACCTATTTTATTTTTATATTATCGTATATATTTAAGATTTTTCCCAACAAAGATAACGAAAACATTAATAATTATTGTTTTTGGTATTTCCATAGCTTTTACGTCAAAATACTATATTTTCCCAGTAAAATATGTAATTTGCATAGCTTTCTTGTGAAAATACCATAGGCTCCTATGAAAATGTAGTATTCTTGTAGAAAAGTAAATTATTTTATTTTTAAAGAAAAATATACACACAAGTAATATTTAAAACCACCATACTTTCTTGTGAAAATGTCATATTTTCCTGCAAAATGCAATATTTGCATTGGTATTTATGGTAGATATAAGATGATTTTTTTTTAGATGTAACATTTGTAGAAAAGATCGTAGGACAACACAAGTAATACTTACAACCACCATACTTTCCTACGAAGATTCATCAAGAAAAAAACACTATGATTAATCGTGAGTTGATTTACAATTGTAAACAATAAATCATAGTGCTTTTAAAAAAAATCCATCAAACACAAAACACTATGATTTTTGCGGATATATGAATGATGCGTAATTATTATACATATTAGTTTTACCAACTATCTAACTAACTATTACGACTAGGCAGTGGACCTTCTCGCAAATAATATAGCACAAACAGTCGGGTATCGAACACAAGTAACATATTTAATTTACTAACCTAACTAGTAATAAATTAATCTAAAAAACAAACAAAAGTTAAAAAGGGTTTTATCTGATTTTTCAAGTTCATGCAAACTTAAACACCTAACTAACGGTTTTAATCAATATACTAAAACCAATTTCGTTTACTTCGAATCCACCTTTTCCCTATGGTTATTTACTAATTATGAATTATTAAAGTTGGTTACCAATTATTTATGTAATTAGCAATTCAAATCCAAATTTACTAATATTTTCACCAATTCATGAACTACCTTGTATGGTCATACACAAGCAAAACACGAAATTAGTTATTATTTATAAATGAGCTATGTAAGATTTGTCTAAGCAAACACAATTATGGTCACAATTATGTTCTCCAGCACAACTAAAGTTGTTACTTTTATTACTTATCTAAGAATTGGTCGATCCTAGCTCTAGTAATTTAATGGTCACTAAATCATTAGGTAACCAAGTTCATGTAATTTAATGGTCACTAAGCTACACTTTACTTGAATTTAAGCAACAAAGTCACAAACTTTAACATGCTATGTAATGAAAATCAAACACATGCACAAAACTAACTTATAAAATCCATAAATTAATAAACTAAGCCATTGAGTCAAAGTATCATCTAGCTAAACGAAAGAAAATAAGTTCAGCTACTCCTGGATGAAAACGAAAACATAAGTGTAACATAAATCAGTATGATTAAAGTAAATCAAACCGATGTGATGACGTGTTCTTCAATTGTTTTGTGTACTTCTCTGAACTCTAAAATCGGATATCTCAGAATACCTTTCCTCCCAAAAGCTCCCCAATTCGATAATGCAAGAGGCTATTTATAATTTTGAAAGATGTGGTTCACGACGTGAATTAGGGTGTCAAATCATGAATTGGGTGTTTATACGTATCGGGAAAGGATTCTGACTTCCCGCGTAGTGATCTTCTAGAATACTCTCTTCATGTCGTGGCCTTCAGTTGCCACGTCGTGATCTTGGTTTTTCGTTGGAATTTTCTTCTTTTAAGCTTCAATCCTCCAAAGTTCCAATCTTTTTCAATTCTTGTCCATATTCTTCAAGAGTGTTCCATTTGGCTGCAAAATACAATTTAATTCAATAAGTATCCCATATCTTTGTAATTAACCAAAATATTAATTAAAATGTATTAAAATATTGCCTAAAATGTGTATAAATATGGCAATATCAAAATAGCCCACACTTATCTTTTGCTTGCCCCCAAGCAAAACTAATCAATTTTACATTAAACTTTCATCACCAATATCACATTAGACAATCCATTTTGAACTCAGTCATTATACCAAGACCTCATTGCGCATGCTTGTGTCTAAGGTTCCTAAAAACTTCCCAATCTTAAATACTCACAATCCTTATGAACCTTCACACCTTAGTTTATACGACACTCATTATTGCAACCCTTCGAATCCATCCTCAGAAATCTTTCTTAACCTCAAGGTATTTTTGGTTAAGTTACCCAAGCATACATAATCTAGAAAAATTACAACTTTAATACCATAATGGAGCTCTTAGAATTCTTCACTTCTTTGATTGCTTTGAATTCACCACCTCTTTGTTTGATTTTTGGTATCTTCAACTTTTTGATTCTTCAGAATTTTGATCTTTTGATCTTCATACTCTGATAGCTCCAAAATTCATACAACTTTTTTGTAACTTTTTTTTTAAATCTCATCGCTCATATCCTACATGCTTAAGAAATGGAGCTTAACTTCAACCTTTATTGGTTAGAGGTATTAGTCTAAGTGCAATTACTACATAAGCTTTCCTAGATAGGTTTCAGGTGCAGGCTGCAAAACTTATTATGTCATATAAACTACCATATTATCTTTCATATTTCATGGCTTTTCACTAAAACTTGGAAAGCCACAAATATACTATAATATATGTTGGCTCAATTAAACATTTGAGCTTGCATTGGATCATCCCACACACCACTAGCAACTTAAGTTTTTTAATTATCACTAGATTTAATTTAAAGATTATTATTTTAAATCTATTTTAATTTTTAAAATTTTAAAATTTTATAGAAATTTTCCTTTTTCGACCGCCTACCCCACACTTATTTCATATAATGCCCTCATTGTATGCATAAAATAATTTAAAAGCAATAAAAGGGAGAAAAAAGAACAGACTCCCCTGGGTAGTAGTGGTGAGATCGAATTCTGCACGCATGTGGAAAACTTGAACACCTTGAGTATGTGACTAGAACTTGTATGAAATCCCCTAATTTCTCGGCCAGAAAAGACCGATTTAATTTATGCTTTTTAAAATAAAATCAGAGAAATCTTTTTAAAAGATGTTGCGGAATTGGTCCCCCAAACCAAAACATGATAAAAGTTTGTCAAAACCTTTCTTTAAGAAATATATAATTTCCTTTTATATCAAAACCTCGGGATGTCATGTTCCGATACAGATCAAAAGCATAAACAAGACATTATAAGCCTTACAACATTTATTTATAACTACTGGCCTATAATCCAAAATCACTCATCATCATCATCCGACTATGCTCGGGGTCCACTACCTGTAATATAAAAAGCTGAGTGGGTCAGGCTGGGAAGCCTGGTGAGCATATAGGGTTTTCAACCCACAATACATAATTTAATATGCTTAAACATCAATCAATCAACCGAATTACCCCAACCCCATTATTTTATTTATTTCTTAGGGTTTACCCTAAGAATCAACTATCACTCCTTCCTAAGGACTCATCCTAAGGAATAGACACAAAGTCACCTCGTCACCGGGGTTTATACAACGGGCACTAAGTCCATAGCAGCCAAGGTTTATTCAACATGTGCTAAGTCCATAGCTCTCATTTATCGACAGTATTATTTACAGGTATTCCCCTCCTGCAATACATGTCAATGGGTTTTTAGAGTACAGCAAATGAACATATAGTTCATACACCTACAGGTTGCGGGCCTGCTAGTGTTCCACAGACCATCTAGAATAGTCCATGGTTGTCATCCATACTCTGCTGAATGACGGGGGCCCACGTTTGGGTAAGGGCTTTTCTCATATTGCACCACTCACGCCAACGTTTGGGTAAGGGCTTTTCTCATATTTCACCCCTCACTATCAACTCATGATCTCATTTCACCACTCATGATCTCTATCATTGATCATCTCATCTATCCAACTCACCTTTCATCACACCCACTATTTCATCTACCCATGTTTTACCCAACATTTTTCGTAGATAAAAATACATATACAGATTAAATTATTTAAAAACCTGTATAAATCATTCCTTCAACACCCATCTCAAATAAACAAACAATATATATTCACACAACACGTATTTTATGTAAAATACTTCATATCTATGTGTAAGGTGAAAGTAACTACACACTCACCTGATTTAATGAAAATCAGGCAGCAATTCGTTTCCTAAAACGATCGTTTCAAAAAAAA